GTGAGTGCGCGCCGCCTCGGCTCGGCTCGGCTCGGCTCGGCTCGGCGGGCGCCCCGGGGCTCCCTGGCGGGGCCGCCCCGCTCCGCCCCGCGCGCGGAAATTCAAACGGCGGCGGCTGCGCCTTGCGGCAAGGGCTGTCGCGGGGCGGCCCGGGGCCCCGGCCCGCCGGAGCCGAAGGCCGAGGCAGCCGGGAGCTCGGGGGCGTCCTGCCCACCGCGCGTGGGCATCCGCGAGCTCTGCCCAAGAGCCCCACTGGAGAGCCAGGCAAAGCTCGGCTTTGCCGACCCAAAAAGCCACGGAAAGGAACTGGGGCAGGCGCAGCAACTCTGCTCCGGACAAGTCACTCTTAGTCTGTGCGTTGGCTCTGCAGCCCCCAATCCCGCTGCTTCCCGGCTCCGTGGGTCCGGCGCGCGCGCAGACCTGGCCGGCCGGCGTCTCGCTGCCTCTGCAGCTGCTAACGTGCTCCCCAAGGACGAAGGCAACTTCTTATTTCTCCAGCCTTTGATCCAAGCTCCCGGAAAACATCAGGGAGTTGTACTGGGTCATGCGGCGTTCCCCTTGACTTTATATCACTCTATTGAGAAGAGGGGGAGGTTTTTTTTCTAGCAAGCCAGCAATTACCCTTTCCTTTTTTGTATAGGACTTAGAAGCCCAATTTGAAAAAATAAAAGCCAGAAGCCTTCCTTGGCAAAGGCCCTCATGGGGTCCCCTGTCTTGTAAGACTAGAACTTGGGCTTCGGGAGGGTTTTCCTGAGCCCTCCTGGCTGCCCTCTTCTGTTTTGGCTGTGGACCCCCACCCTTGCCTGCGTGGGCTGCTCTCCAGAGCGCTGCTTTGCGTGGGTTATTGTCCTTCCAGTGTCCATCTCTTACGAATGTAGCCGTGTTGGTATCTCGGGCTGCTTGACAGACCTGTGGGAGGAGGCAGAGCATGCAATAACACCCGGGCTGAGGGGGGTCCTCCTGCCCGACCAGTACGGTGGAAACGAACCAGGTGTGCTACCACGCTGTGTCTCCAGTGAGAAGAGCCCGCCTGCTTTCCTCGCTTGGGCCTCATGCTCCGTAGTCTAATGCATTGAGGGTGCCTTTAAGCTGCCTTAATGGAGGATGTGGGTAATGCTTTGGTTTCCAAATGCCATGAGATGCTAAAATGTCAAGAAATGTCCTCCTGTGGCATCTTCCGTAAGGGTCCAGATGAGCTCTTCTCTTGAGCCCTTGAGTTTCTTGAGACTTGTGTCAAGTCCTGGGTTCCTGATCTCTTTGGTCACATTTTGAAGACTGCTCTCACTTGAGAAAGGACAGTCTGGATGCAGGGGAGGTGAATGAAATGTTAGCCTAACTCAAATAATGAAAGGGATGGAATTACATTTTGGAGGGATTCTGCTTGATGGAGAGGACATGGCTGAATTGCCCCAGTCATCCCGTTTGAGCCCCTTGGCTTAAATAAAATAATCATTCACTTTCTCATAGCTAAAACTACTAACTCGTTTCCTTCATGCTAAATGTGTTTATATTTGAAGTTTTGGAGTAAGCGATGTCCTATGCTGTAGCAGAATAAGTACAGGAATGCCACCCATGTGCTTGTGTACATGTATACTCCGTGGCATCTCTTTTTTTTTTTCCCCTTGTGCTGTTTCGTGGCTAACTGAGATTTGTCTTTTATTTTTTTTTGCTTTTCCAGTAATTCACTGTCGATGTTCCAGGTGCTTTTCTTTCCCTTCAAAGCGAAGGGTAAGAAAACGGCCCCGAGTCCTGACGTTGCTGAGTCTGCCTGAAGATGTTCTGTTCCACGTTCTGAAAGGCCTTCCTGCTGAGGACATCCTCTCAGTCAGAGCCGTGAGTCCTCCAACAGCTGCTCCTCCGTAACGCACAGCGCTTTAGGGCTGGCCATAGGTGCCAGGACTGGGTATGGGAAAAGCTGGCTCCTCATACCTGTTTTTGTGCCTCGGCACTCGAGGTTAAGGATATAAGCAGCCACACCGGAGTGCTCTCTGGAAGTTTTCTGTGCAAGTTCTTCTGCCAGGTCACTGTGACTGAGAGAGAGAGTTCAATTTGGCAGCTCTTGCCTTGGTCRAGGTTGGGCAGAAAAACAATAGTGATTTATTTGTGGTTAATGCGCTCCCTCTGTAGAATTAGACTGCTGAAGAACTGTTTTTCTGTTGATYCCTCATTTATATAATTGCTTTGCACAGGTACACTCACATCTTAGATACCTTGTGGATAATCATGCTAGTGTTTGGGCATGTGCGAGCTTCCAAGAAATATGGCCTTCTCCCAACAATCTGAAGATGTTTGAAAGGTAGGACTTGAAGAATCACGCCATGTCCATGGTGGTAGAGGGCTGTAGGTCAAGCTAGGTATCCAGTGTGAATCATTTTCTCCTCTGTGTGGGAGATGTGCCTGTCTTTTCTTACTTGTAGAAATCTTTGCTTGCTGTGCTGAAGATTTGAGTTCGTGTCTCATGTACACTAGAACTGTTGTCTTTTTAACTGGAGCACAGCCTGCTGTATCTACCAAAGTGTAACTTCTCTTGAAAGGCAGTAGCATCTTGTGGTGGAATGCAGTGCATTAACTAAAACCTGCTATTGATGCTCCTGGAGCCTGTTTCCATATGAAAATCCATGAGGATCTGGAATATAACTACATTTCTAAGTCTTGGTCCGTTTAGCTCATTCTTGTGAAGAAACATTTTTACCTAATAAAAAATAGGTGAATGTCAATATTAAGCCTGGAGTTTCTGTAGGTAATGGTAAATTGGTTAAAAGGGAAGGAGAGTGTGTGTTTGTTTTGAAAGGTAGGGGTCATTTTTAATGTTGTGCCAATTGCTTCTTACTGTTTTCTCTGCTCTAATGCATGTTTAATCTTTCTACACACTATCAAAAATTGACTTGAGAGTGCAGATACCAAAACGACCACATTCTGGCATTGGGGGCATGGGRCGGGATTGGAAAATGGTTTGCCATTTCCAGAACAATTTGGCAGCTCTACAGGAATCAAAGAGCTGGGTATAAATTGTGCCCTGGCTTTCCTTGCTGCAACTCCCATGGCAGAAGCACGTGTGATTGAAGACATTTGTTACGCTGCATCAAAATCACAGCCTGGCTTATACTGTCGTAACTAGTGTAAGGATGAGGGTCTAAAAGTAGTTATTGAGTTAAACCTGACGTSTCGTCTCTGTGTTGCAATTTAGGGCTGCTGAGAAGGGTAACTTTGAAGCTGCTGTGAAGCTGGGGATCGCCTACCTGTACAACGAGGGCCGTAAGTGTGCACGGGCTCGGGCTCTGGGGGAAGGTGGGGTGCCCAGGGGAAGGGGAGATGAACTCCAGGCTTATTTCCAGCTGCACATCAGTTGTAGAGGCAAAAAGCTGCCTTTTTTTGTATCGGCTGCCTGCAGAGTTGTTTCTCCTGTGCCTTGAGTACTGATGCTTTTGTACTCGGCTTCTGGAAGAAAGAAAGGGCAGTTGGTTTTCAGTATTTCAGCTGTTTTCAGTGTGTGATGAGCCTTCCTCTTTGGTTTTATCTTTCAGTCAAATTTTGATTGCGATCCTAACCTCTTGCTAACCCTGTTAAGTGTTGTTATGTTGCAAGAGCGTGTGTCTGCATCAAAAATACACAATTAGTGAATGCATAGCTTATGCACTCACATTTTCAAGTTATGCTTTGATAACTTCTGATCGAACTTGAGCTGCTGCCTACTCTGTTCAAGGTGACCAAAGGGATSAGTGCTTGATGGGGAGGACTCCTCCTGCCGAGGAATTTGGCAAGGCAGGGGACTTGCAGGCCGTTTTGTTGGTGTGCTTACAGGGATTAACATTGCTCTGAGCATTGATATTTGCCCCTCATTCTCAGGCTGTGCCAACGCTGTAGACTGACTGTAGCAAAACCTTTCTTATGTTGACATCTCCCTGAGTCTAAAGTTCTGAAAGGAATTCCCTGTTCAGCCTTTTCCTGATGGCTGATGGATTTCATTCCTTCCCGGAAGGCATCCGATCGTTTGCGGTGACTCTGACTGTTTGTCCTGACCAATTTCTCAGTGTCCATCTCCGACGAGGGCCGCGCAGAAGTGAATGGGCTGAAGGCGTCGCGTTTCTTCAGCCTGACGGAGCGCCTGAACGTGCGCGCGGCCCCCTTCGTCTGGCTCTTCATCCGTCCGCCCTGGTCCCTGAGTGGAAGCTGTTGCAAAGCTGTGGTCTATGAAAGCCTCAAAGCAGAATGTCAGTTGGAGAAGGTAAAGTTTCTTCTGCTTTTCATTTCAAAATAGCGTGGCAGCTTCACCAAATCCTTCGGGGTGGGGAAAAAATACTCTTATCTACCCATGGAGCTCTTATGCCTTGGATACTTAAATCACCACRGATCAATTGTTTTAATGGATTCCCATCCAAGCTACTCTGCGTATGTTGTGAATGACAGAGACTTGTAGTGAGAGAGATTTTTTTTTTTTTTTTATCTCAAAGATGACAAAATATTGAGGAAAGTCAAGAGAAGGAACAATGAAAGACAAGCAAGTGTACTCAGGAATTGTTTGCTTTTAAAAAGTCTTTGTTGTTTCTCCTTACTGAAGCTTTATCTTAATGGCTTTTCCAGGTTCAAAAAGCATCTATCCTCCACTGCTTGGCTAAGGTCTTAAGTCTCTTTGAGGTGAGCAATGCTTCTGATTTGTCATCTTTGGCAATTCTGAAAATGACTTTTCTGGTAATGCTAATTCTATTTGATTAGAAATCAAACAAATGCTCTTGTGTTGCTCAAGTAGCTTTAGGAATTTCTGTACTGAAGAGTATATGATACACATTTTCTCAAAGAAACTCAGTTTCTTCAATTTTACGAGAACTGAAATTCATTTGGCCTCTTGTGGGCTGGTACTGTGGTCAGACCTCAAAGGAAGGCTCACGGTCTTAATGTCTCTCAAAATAAATGGCCTTCAGTGGTGAGGAACCCAAAAAGCAACTAGTTGAGCAAAGTTGTCAGCTAATTCATGACCCTGGTAGCACCCTGTATAGTCTGGAAGGGACTTGCAATTCATGATACTGCACTGCAGCTTTTGGTATGGAGCTGTTCAGCAGCTGCTGAAATTCTGAGGTCTGCATCCAGTTGGCTGGGCAGCATAAATACCATCTTTTCTTTTTGTTTTTGTTTTCTTTAGGATGAAGAAAAAAGAAAAGAATCCCTAGAAATGTTTGAAGAATCTTCAAAGCAGGGTTGTTTAAACAGCTCCTACCTCCTTTGGGAAAGCAACAAAAAGGCTGCTGTAAGTAAATGTCTGTTTGTTTGAAAACAACCTTTTTGACTGTAATGTCTGGAGCTCCGTGTGCGATAAACAACTGCACAAAGACATTGCTCTTCCTTTTAGGATACCTGCCTCATAAACAAGGAGAGCACTAAGAACTCTCAGAAGTGAAACTTGATATTTGTCTAAAATAAGCGAGTCCTTGAGCGGTTGTAGCTAAGGAGTAAGGAGAAGCTCCTTTATGCCAAGCATGGTCACCACTGGCTAGTAAACAGGTTGCCCGCTTGGGAATGGGAGCAGGGAGCCTGCCTACATGGTCGTTTTTTAAATATATTGATATCCTGAATGACCTGTCTCATCTCCCGTGAGACCTTGGGCAAGACTAGCAGCAAGTTTCTTGAACATTGGCCTCACGATGAGCAACAGACTGGTTGCTGAAATAAGTGTAACCACCAGCCGTGTTTTTCCTATGGACAGGAGTATTCACAAACTTTCCATTTCCTTTGTAAGGAAAGGTAAAGGGTTTTTAATCTACTTGTATTTCTCTGCTTAGATGACAGATCCTGGCAGATACCTCCAAAGCCTCAGGAAGCTAAGGGACTATGCAGCAAAGGGCTGCTGGGAAGCACAGGTAAGACTAACTTTCCAGGAAAAYTGTCAGACTTTAGTCTCTTACGTGCCCTTGTGAGTACAGACTCGTCCTGTTAAATACAGGGTCAAAATTACCAAATTGTGTATGTGTAAGCATGCGTGTATGCTCTCTGATGCTCTCTGCAATTCCTTTTCTCAAAATGCTGTTCTACAGCCTCAACAAGGATCCATTTTCTGCTAGAATAAAGGCTTACCCCCCAAAATGAGCACCTTGTTTAGCCTTTAAGTCAGATATAAGAAATAGGCATTTTTTACTTTGAAGTTGTTTTTTTTTTGTGATAGCTTCTTCCATTTTCAGCAGGAAAATWGCAGGACCAGATGCTTTAGCTCGTGTTTGGTAAACATATTTTCTTCTGTGTTCTGTCTGCTACAGATAGCCTTAGCTAAAGCTTGTGGGAATGGAAACCAATTAGGATTAGAAATGAAATCTTCCACTGAACTGGTGTCCCAGATCTTTCAAACTTCCGTGCCTGTCAGCAAGCAAAGCATCTTCACTGTGCAGAAAGGAATGAATGAAACAATGAGGTAAAATCTCAAATCCAACTATAGTCTCCTATTTTCTAGATTAGTGGGCTTTAGCCTCCTGATTTATATATGCCTCAACCTAATTCCTTTTAATTAAATTTCACAAGCTATTTAACAGGTCCATTTGGCCCTGAAAGAACAAGGAGCCTCTGGCTGCAAACTGTTATCTCCATGCAGTGCGAAGTCTTTCTGAAGTCYTTTGGTGCAGTTTCTTGGTTTGGAACCTTTCAGTGCAGAAGGGGCTGGTGTGGGGAGAAGGTTCTGAACGGCTGGATCTGAACGGCTCTAACCTGGCAGCTTCTTTCACCTGTCCAGGTACATCCTSATTGACTGGTTGGTAGAAGTGGCCACCATGAAAGACTTCTCCAGCCTCTGCCTTCACATGACAGTGGGATGTGTGGACCGTTATTTGAAGCTGAGACCTGTACCCCGGGCTCGACTCCAGCTCCTGGGAATTGCCTGCATGGTTATTTGCACACGGTAGGGACTGGGACCAATGGTCATGGATGGTTACTGTGATCCTTCCAGTTCACCTGTGCACTTTGGCTTCCTGCCATGTGAATAGTAGTATTGGAAAGGCCCTCTGGCTTCCTTTTACATTGGCTGCTACTTGAATGGGGGTCACATACAAACTTTCCCGGTCCATGCAAATAGCAGGCAAAAAAAAAAATATATATATATATATATTTATATTTATATATAAATAAGATATATATATATAAAAATAAGATATATATATATCTATATATATATTTAATATATATATATAAATAAGATATATATATAAAAATAAGATATATATATATTATATATATATATTAAATATATATATATATTTAACATGTATTTGAATATGAGGAAGAGGGGAAACATTGCAGGGAGGAGGTCTAAATCAATTGACTAATCTAGTTGCCTTCCATCAGCAACTAAAGTCTTTCAATAGTGGTGTGAATAATCCTATAAGAAAAAACTGCAGCAGTGTTGTTGCACAGTTCGGTCTCTTGTGCTCAAATGACTGCGCTTTACAGGGATAAACAAGCACAGTGTGGTAGAATATTATTTTCTGTATTAGTTCCTTTAATGTCTTGCATCTTAACCTAGTAGAGGTTTTCTAAATGTAATGGATCAGAAATGTTCTCATACCTGGCTTCAGCTTAAAGGTAAAATAAAAAGAGCTGCTATTCCTTTTTTTCCTGTTTTTTTCCAGATCCATGACGTTAGCAAGTATTTTATGAAGCTGTTTAACTCCTTGGTCATCTTGGATGTGTGTGTTTGCCYGCACAAGGAATCAGTGCACACATGTGCACATTCAGGTTCTCGTGGGGTCAGTTGTTAACAATATTTAATATTGCAGTTTTGTCAGCAAAGAGATCTTGACGATACGGGAAGCTGTGTGGCTAACGGACAACACATACAAATACGAAGACCTTGTCAGAATGATGGGCGAGATCATTTCTGCCCTAGAAGGAAAGATAAGGGTGAGTTTGGAAAGAGGATGGGCCCTTTTGGTGGCTACTGAGATTGCGCTGTTGTTGGCAATGAAATGTGGGTCACTTCCTGCTCTATAATAACATATAAAATGATATTTCTGATGGAACTGTTCTCATTAATCTGGGAAGACTTAAAAGCCTTCTGATGCAAAACTGTCTGTCTTTGTGTACAGATTAAAACTTAAGTTGAGAGGTCATATTTAAAAAAATACTAAGGTAATGAAGAGGGTCTGCTGGGAACAGCTGTGTTAATACTTGGTGTTTGATCATTTTGCCAACTCCTTTATGTGTTAGATACCTACTGTTGTGGACTATGAAGAAGTATTGTCACACATAGTCTCGCTGGAGAGAAGAACCCTTCACCTGTGCAGCTTCATTTGTGAGCTGTCCCTTCTGAACACCAGCCTCTGTGTGTACTCGCCGGCGCGCCTGGCTGCCGCGGCGCTGCTGCTGGCTAGGCTCCTGCACAAGCAAGGTAAGGAACTGCCTCCTGCGCCCAGGGAGCTGTTTTTCCCTGCTTTCTTGGGCAAGATGCCTCCTTCCTTCCTTGGTGTTGTACAGGAATGAAGGTTCCTGCCACTAATTCTACAGCATAGACAATATAGGTAGCCACAAATTCACTTTGGCAGGCAAAGGTGTTCTTGAAGCTGACTGTAAATTTGAAAAAGCTGCTTACAGGCATAAGCTTGTAGATGGTGATTTTTATCACATCTTAAAAAAAAAAAAAAAAAAAAGTGTGTGATTACACAATTACCAAGCTTCACAAAATCATAGTACGTGCTCTCTTCTCCAGCGCATCCCTGGACAAGCCAGCTGTCTGAATGCACTGGTTTCTCTTTTGAAGACCTCCTGCCGTGTGTGCTCAGCCTCCATCAAAAATGGTAAAACTCTTGGAATCCTTTCGGGARCGCATGGGAAGGTTTGGAATCCAACTCTTCCAAGTTGGCGAGTGCTGTCAGCATGGTTTCACGGAATCCATTCTCAGATTGGGGCTTTATTCTTTCTTTCCAGTTTCCATGATGATGTCCCAAAGGATTATAGGCAAGTGTCTCTAACTGCGGTGAAACAACGATTTGAAGATGAGCGTTATGAAGAAATAGGTAAAGAAAAGGTGAGTTCTTGCTCTTCATTTGGTGATACTTGACACTTGGAGCAAAATCAGCTTTGTGGCAGGATGTACAAAACAAAGCAATGGGAAATTACTGTTAACATTAGACTTTTGGGGAGGAGAAAACATAGAAATCAAGCAGTGGTTTTTAAACTTATTTGCTGGGACTTGAGTTTAGTTGATTACATGTGGCAAGAACTTGCTGTGATTGTATTTTTCTAGGGGGAGGGGAAAGAGAGAGAAACCCCCCCTTAAAAGGGGAATTGCATGATCTTCTTTACTGACTTTTTTTTTTTTTATTTTAAGATGATGAGTTACAGCCAGCTGTGTTCAATGTTGGGTGTGAAGCAGGAGGACCCGGAGCCCAGCCCCATGCACGCAAATATGGTGGAAATTCAGACTTTCCTTAGTTCTCCCTCTGGAAAGAGAACTAAAAGGCTAGTGTAAATTCATCACTGCTAATGTCTAGGAAGACTAGTATGAGGCTTTCCTCTTCTCTGATGTCTTGAACTTCTGTTCTAAAATGTGATCAATTCTTCTAATCTTCATCTTCTAATTCTTTTTAACTGGAATACCTTCTGAAAGAGCTGGGAAAGGAGGCTTAGCTTTCAAAAGCTGACTTTTGGATTTTGTTTTTTCCTCATGCTGCAGGAGGAGGGAAGACAGCATTCAGGATGACAGAGGCAGCTTTGTGACTACACCCACAGCTGAGCTATCCACCCAGGAAGAAAGTCTCCTAGACAACTTCCTAGACTGGAGCTTAGACTCCTGTTCTGGTTATGAAGGAGATCAGGAAAGTGAAGGCGAGAAAGATGGAGATGGTGAGGGTTTCTTTCTCCTTACAGAAAGCAAATGAGAGAATTAAAATAACGTAGCTATCTCTTTCCGTAAAATTGTTTCCTTGGGCAACTTGCAGAGGAAGATCACTTTGGAAAAAGATTTTGCTTCTACAGTGATCTTAAATTGTTGGAGGTATATATCCCTTTTTGTCATCATGTTTCAGAATGTGATGAAGGTTTTTGTAGGTGYTTAAGCACTCGGTGTGAGACTGTTCTGACACTGTACTGGATGGTTGTGCTCCAGGGGTTCTTGCCCGTGACCAGTGTTGTGAATGCTGTTACCTGCTCCTTTTCCAACACTGTGATTAGTTTTTTTTTCTGTGAAAACTCTCTTTTTTGGACAACAGCGTCCCCTCAAAGACGGAATGTCCCTGTTTTAAAGTAGGAGCGAGATATCTGTTCCCCCACCCCTTCATGTATAAGTAGCCCTAAGGTCTTCTTTTTAGTTCTTACTCTATGCTGAGTGTCTTGTCTTTGATCTGTGCCACACTAACCTTTGCTTTCACCATCCTGCAGTGACAGCTCCCAGTGGCATCTTGGATGTGACTGTGGTCTATGTGAATCCAGCTGACCACTGCTGTCACGACTCCAGTGACGAGGAGAACGGAGCTGCGGGCTGGTGTGAGCACACGGTGCCCCCAAGCGAGGCTCAGCTGCCTGATGACACCCGTGTTCTTCCAGCATATCTCACCCCAAGAAACCCTAACCTAGAGGGCAGCTCAGGCTACTCCTCTGTCAACAGCACCAGTCCTACATCTTCTGCAGAAGGCAGCTTTGGAGCACCCCTCAAACCTACCTCAGCGCTGTCCCTTGGCAGCGCCACGAACAAGGGGCCGTGCCAGCCCCACTACTTGAAGTCACGTTTACAGCCGGCCAGCGCTAGGCCCAGCGACGGCAAGTGCGACAGAAGACAAGTCAAGCGCAAGAACATTGCAGAACACAGTGAAGAAAGGGTGAACCTGGCTCTCTGATTCCACRCTGTTTACTTCTAGAGGCTTCCTGGAAACAGTATTTCTGTGTAGTCATGCAGGGTGGTAGTGAATAATTGTCAATACCTCCACCGTGCTCCCCCTCCTGTCAGCTTTGTCTATGCCTATCATGGTCTGCAAACCTGTCCTGTGTTTCTGTAGCTCACTTCTGGGCCATTTACTTTCTTGATAGCTGCCCTTTTTTAATGTATTCCTTATGATGTTATCCTATGCAAATTAAGACCCTTCTTTGAGCATGAAATTTGCAGTTTCTTATCATGCTTCTCCAGTTAATCCGTGAAAGCAAAATACTTGTCCTGCACCTCACTTTGCTGTGAGACCTGGCCCTCATTTTTAAAGATGCAGCTTTGGTTACCAGGTTAGGCTACTGGATGTAACTCTATGCTTGAAGTCTTCCCTCTGAAGACCTGTTTGAGGCTGTTACCTTACTCTTCCTGACATGCTATGTTACTCAGCTGGTGCTTTCCTAATCTCTGTGTATACCACTTGCTGCACTGATCTAAGGGTTTTTTTTAAATGGATATAATCAAGAGGTATATGAAGGCTCTCTGCAGGTCTTTTTGTACGTATGTGTGTGCGTGGGGGGGGCGTTTCTTATTTTTTCCTTAACCTACCTCTCGCATGGTTTTAGTCCCGTTTGCCTCAGGCCCTAGTTGCCATGTGTTCCCCTCACCTGAAAAACTGCCCTTCTGTGCCTTAAAGCTTCACTGCCTGAGCGAGCAGTAACATGAGCTCTGTGAACTGTTAGATGCTGGACTAGAGGTTAAACTGTCACCTCCAGCCTCTGCCTGGACTTAGTTTCCTGTCTTGCACCGTCTTCCTTGCTCTTTTCAAACACGTCTCCTCAAGGAAAGCACAAGCACCCCTTGAACACTAGAACTGGAGGCAGCACTGCAAAAAGAGCAGGTCGTATTTGTTGAAAGCTCTAACTTAAACCTCACTACTTCATTCCACGCTGCACGGACAGCACAGCTCCAGCCCAGACGTGGTCCTGCTTGGTAACAACAGCGAAGAAACAACCCACCCTGACCTCGGCCTAGCAGGGCTCGGCTAAAGCTGCTTCGTTCTACAACTGTTAAAAGAACAGCTGCCTCCCTAAGAACAGGGAGCGAGTCTATCAAGGTACAAGACTTCCAGGAGATGTCACTGAACTTAACACTGGAACTGGACTCCCTGACTCTTGGTTAGAAAGCACTGTGGCAGACAGCAACAGTTCAGATACAGTGTAGTGACTTTTTATAAATTTTTTTTTTTTTTTTTTACAAATACATGGTTCCCTGTCTTATATTAAGGGCTACAGCCTTAGCTGTAGACCATGTTCATTCATTCATTTTCACTGTTTTGGGCCTTAGAGAACTGGTGTGGYGGAGGTGGGGGGCTGGAAGTCTGAGTTGTGCTGAACAAATCACAGTTGATACTGAAGCTATTAATATTAATATATCAACTGAAGTTTAGATAGAGCTCTGGCCARGTTCCTTCCCTTTAACCACCTCTGCCCTCCCTGCAAGTAGAGCAAGGCCTCAAGGATGCTGACTAACCAAGGGAGCCAGGCCTTAGGTCTCGTCCACAAGGTTTATTACAAAACAAGATACGGYCTCTATCATTACAAAAAGTCCCTGATTTTGGTTCTCTGGGCCAAACGCAGCCCTTTTCCAGCAGCTACAGTGCAGTTCTCCAGGGAGCTGCCCAGCTTGCACCAGCTTGCCACGCAGAAGTACCTTCCCAGTAGCTGGAAGAGTGGCTCAAGATCCAGTGTTAAGTCACATTAAAGTCAGAGAACATCACATATAAAAACAATTCTTGCCTCTAAAACAGGTAGATAAAAGTTAGATGTGGCTCCTGGAAAGGCCTCACAGTGCAGAAAGTTTGGAACTGACCTCTTCCTGTGCAAACTCTCTTGAGCTAAAAAAAAAAGGCACAGAAGAGAAACATTAATCACTCGATTCAATTCTTTTCCCGAAAGAGGAGTAAGTTAGGTGAGGAGTTAAGCACAGGGCACCTGGGCCTGCTACTTCATCCACTAGTTCAGAGGGCATCAGCTCAGAGTAAAAGTAGATTTGTCTCCATCTATCAAAGCCTTTAAAGTAACCTTTCAAGGTTGGGGGRTACCCTTTGTGGGTGAAACACAGTAACTGTGCTCAGCAGAGCTACAGGCTGGTATCTGAAAAGGAAGGGCAGGCCCTTGGCTGTGTTTTCTAAGGATCAAAGATCCCAGAGTCTGATTTGTTTCACAGAGAGTTTATAAAACACCCGGCTACCGCTCTCCGCTCCCAGAGCTGCTGCCTGCAGCACCCCTGTGCTGAGGAAGGGACGCAGGGCTGCGCTGCCCACACGCTCTGAGCTGCTGCGCTCCAAGCTCAACTTACTTAGGGAACGACCTTGACATCCAGAGAGTCGTAAGCTGAAGCTCTCATCTTCTCCAGTGGCCTCCTCAAGAGCTGCCGCAGGGCGTCGTAGTCGGGCTTCTCCTCGTACTCCAGGGCCATCGCTTGCTGCAGGTAGCTCTGCAGGGCCTCTGCAAAACAAGCAACAGCATCACAGAGAGCACCACAGCCACCCCAATCACCTTTACAAACTGCCAAAGGGACTTTCCCAGTAGACAGATCACCTGCCTTGGATAGGGAGGAAAACAAAACTACAGACCAGTATAATGAAGCTCAAAATCCTAAACCTTGGAGGGCTTAAGCCATCAGAACCCATGCCTCTTCAACAAGGCTCATGAATACAGACAAGGGCCATCAGTCATGCTTGTTTTGCTGTAGAGGAAAGTGAAACAAGGAATTCATTCACCCAGGGGCCTGCCAACCAGCTTATGTCACGCTTTGTCACTATGGGAAGCCACCCTTGACTAGGATCACAGCAGAGAAGGTTCTAGTCTCAGATGCAGCCAGTCCTCTTTTCCCAAGTTCCCCAGCTGCAGAGAACGTGCCCATACCTGGAATCACTTTCTGCCTGAAGCACAGTCGGAGGAGGCCACTCACATCCCGCTTGTACCTGGAATAGTCAATGCAGAGTCAGACCATAAGCAGTGAAGCAAGGACCTGAAGGGTTCATCTTCGGCAGTCATAACAAAAACAAAAATAAAAAGAAAAGACTGAATTCAGATGGCCAAGTTCTGAAAGGAGGAGAAATCGGGGTTCAAACACCCTTTTCAAGCTGGACAATCTGGCAAACTACTGCCAGAGTCAGCTTTTACAGTGCTGTGAATCTACCCGCATCCCAAACCATACTATGACCAAAGAATTTTCTTTCAGTCAGAAATCCTCTCTCGCTGCTTTGATTGGAGGATTTCCCACAAGAGTTTAAATTGCTTCTTACCTCTCCTTCTTCTCCACCACAGTTTCTATTTTGGTCAGCTCATCAGACCAAGGCAAGAAGCCACAGAGCCATTTCAGCAGACAGTAGCCCAGAGATTCCAAGTCACTCCGACGAGATGGCCCTGATGAGCAGGAAGAGAGATCCAAGTGTGAAAACCAGCAGCAACAGAAATGCCAGCAGGGTGGTCTAGTTCCCCACAGCCTCCCTGCAGTGAGGAGTTCTAGGCAAGCTTGCTGGTTGATGTCAAAGACAAGAGACTCACCTGCTCCCTTGTGGCTATCTAGGCTGATAAACTCTAATGTGCCTTCATGAGGAGTCCTACTGCCTTCACGCAGAGCCACGTGCTTCCCTCCTGGGCAGTAGCGGAACGCGAAGCAATAGCCCGCTAGGGTCACCTAGAAGGCACCAAGAACACACAGCATCTAAAGTGCTACTGCCTGCGGCCAAGCCCAGCACTGTATCTTTACTCTGCCTTCTCCTGAAGTATCTCCTAACCTTCCCTTCAGCGGAAGTCATTGCTCCTCAAGCCTAACAGCYGGTGGCACCTCAGGCACCACCGCTCCTCCCTGGCGAGCCCACCTTCACTGCCATTTGCTCACAGCTTTATTCCTACCTCTGTGAGGTCAAGTGGGTTCACGTAGATGTTCTCGGCCGTGATGTCCCCGTGCACATACTCATTTTCATGAATGTACTCCAGGCAGTCTAACTAGGAATAAACAGAGGAGGCAAGCCCATCAGAGCCGCTCTTGGCAGCTGTGGCGAGGAGCTCACAAAARCCACGTGCAATAGCCTCTAGTTTTCAAGCGTCAAGAGTTCCTCTCATGCTCTTTACCCCAAACTCCCTTGAGGTTACATATTAACAGGCTCAAGAGACATTACTCAAAAGACCTCAGCCAACCCTTTGATGATCATCAGAGCCACTAACACGGGTGTTTTCTGGACAAGTCTCTCGGGAATGGCGGGTTCTCTACGTACCAGCCGGACTGCAATCTGAAAAGCTGCCTTCTCCCTCAGCAGGTTTAAACCATCATCCAGGATAGACTGAAGGGTTCGCCCTAAATCAGGGAACACCAGAAACCTAAAAGAGACATAGACTTTTAGCAGCACCTACCCAATACGGCAGTCCTGCAACAGACACTCATCAAACACTCTGCTGCCTGGGCTGGATCTCTCTTAACCCCAAGTTCACCTGGGCAAAAAAAAGCCATCATTTTTGGGCAACACAACCTCCCTGGGAAGGAGGCATGCTGACCCCATGTTGTCCATATTRGAGTCTTCCATTATTTTAAGTTCAAAGGTTAGGGATGTCCCGTGGCATGCGAGGAGCAGCAAAAGCCAGGACATCACCAGCAACACGAGACATGAAGGGAGAATGGGAATGAATGACAGAGGTGAAGCACTTGTTAGGAAACGAGATATGACCAGGGCACAAGGCTGCAAGCCCAGGGAGGAGCAAGGAGCAGTGAGACAGAGGTGAGCAAGCCCAGAAAGATGGGCAAGGAAGGAAGCAAGCCATGGAGGAGGAAAGAACTCAGCAACACATTGTACAAAGTGCCTCACCGATAGTTATCTCCATGGAGGCCAAAGCCAACGCAGTCGGGGATACCCAGCAATGGCACAGAATGCAGCTTCTTCCACTTCTCCACTAGAAGGACAAGACAGAGCAGTGCAGACCCTCCCACGCAGCTCCYGAACAGAGGGGCAGGCTCGCAGCCACGCTGCCTTCCTCCAAAGGCACCCTTTGCTTGCAGCAGCCCAAAAGCCCCTCTCATACCATTTCTTGGCCATYAGTACTAGGCTAATGCTTGGGGTATCGGCACGTCAGTACTCTGAGCACTATGGAGGGAGAATAAGTGAGAGAAGAGATGCTGGGAATGCCAGCGTGGACATGTGGTTGTTAAGGAGCCAGGTAAAACAAGAATGACAGGAAGGAAGCAAGCAAATTATATACAAGGGGATGAAAAGGCCATCATTAAGGTCTTCCCAGAAGTCTGCCTTCTGGATTTGACAGGAATTCCTCCATCACCCTGTTCCAACACCTGCCCATGTGCCTGGTCAGCTTGCCCATGCTCCGGCTTCTGGATCAATGAATTAGAGACCAGGCAGCAGCTGACACCAGGAAACCAAGGCAGGTCAGGCTGCAGGTTAAACAGCTACCACGGAGACCAAAGTAGAGGGAACGTGTAGGGCAAGAGAGCTTCAAGAAGTGCTTCATGCCAACATCACACACTGTCCAAAAGTACCTCTTGGGAGAGCAGGCACCTGACTGAGCTGYTTAACGCTCTGGCACAGACCAAGCATTGAAGTAGTTTATTCAAGCCTGGACTTCCGAGAGTCTCACAGCTCATGTGCCAGGACTGCCAATTTTCCAATCATGCAGCACGGTCCTCCTCGCTCCCAGGMGCACCAACCTGTGGCCTTCTTTGCAGCCCGCTGGAAGAAGTTCTGTTCATTGTAGATCTTGCCATCTTTCATGTCCTAGAGGCAGCATAGAGATGAAGAATGTTATTTTCGTCTCCACACTTCCTTGCTAGAAAGGGGGACTTGGGCTGGATAGCTACAAGCACTTCACTGCACATTTTAAAGAAGCAAGCTACAAACCCCCAAATCAAGGAGAGGGGAACAGAGCCGGGAACAGAGCTCAGGACTCCAGGCTCACGGGCTAATGCTGCATCTAACCACCACAAACCTCACGGCATCAGCACGGGGCTAGGAAGTGCTCATTACAAGATGGGCCTCTCAAGCTCTACCACTTAACRAGTTTTCTAGGGGTTAAAATCCTCTAGACAGCACAGACCATCCAACAAGCTGCAGCAGGCTCTAATGCTGAAGCTGACAAGGAGCC